AATGACACTTGGTCTGTAATGGGAGAACATTATGCCCTAAGAAAAAGGAATAATACTTAAGGGAATGATACTTGGTCTGTAATGGGAGAACATTACGTCCTAAGAAAAAGGAATAATACTCAAGGGAATGACACTTGGTCTATAATGGGAGAACATTACGCCCTAAGAAAAAGGAATAATACTCAAGGGAATGACACTTGGTTTGAAAACATCGCCCAAGGTAAAAGGCTTTGCTAGAGGTACGGATGTCAACTACAAAAATCAGTGAGTGCAGCGATACTGAAATTTTTCATTTATTAACCTACTTAATAATTTCATAAATACCTTATATTAATAATCCATAACAATTATTAGCATTAATAATTATCACGTCAAATGAAGTAAAGTATGTACGACAACGAAGAATGTAATAAATTAATTTATCTTTAATATTTGGCCTATTCCTTGCGTCTTGGAATACGATTTGCGTGGAATGATCTAACGAAGATCATGGAAAGAATGGCGACTTACAACATAGACGCGAATCGTAGAAATACAAATTATTGCGTATCTTTAAAACAAGATTTATCGTGTATGCTATTCCTTTTACACATGTATTTTAACATGTTTATCATAAAAGAATAATTCTCAAGGTAATGTCATGTGATCTGAAATGGGTAATTTGCATACGAAGGTAAAGAGGTCTATAGAGGCTTTTGCAACATCACGTGATGGCAGCCATGACAGGAGGCAGAAACAATGGAATGTGTACTAATCTGATTTACGTGAGAAAGAATTTAGTCTCCCAGTGGGAAAAGAATCCCTTTGCCTCGTGTCGTGGCTGCCATTACGTGATGTTGCAAAAGCCACTATTGGAGGTAATATCAATTGCCCTATTTCACTATGACGTCACATCAAAACAGTCTATTGTTTAAACGCAAAGGATCATGGTCGTTGGAGGGGGTCAAATCAACGCAAATTCACCGAAAGTTGTTCTAAAACCCGTATCAATCCACGACGAGAAGTAGCATAGCCAGCAAACGCTCAGAATATTTTTTAGTACATATTAACACATATTATATCTGAAAACCAGGCCATTTTAGATTAAACTGTTTTACTAGGAGCAAATTTTGTTGAATTTTCTATTGGATTTGGCGATTCTATCCCCCACATAAACAAGCAGTGACGTCATAGTGAAATAGGGCAATTATACTACAGTTGGTTCGCTCGACGGTTCGGAACTTGAGCCCGCGCTCGACTCATGGGAGATAACGCTGAGTCTCATCTGTACGCTCGTAGGATCCCACTCCAGACTGAACCTACTCGATGGATCTACCTTGAAGTTAGAATCCACTTGATCGCCTGAATAACTAGATCTCTGACTCGATGAAGGTGTGTTCGATGTTTGGGCTTCCTTTGGTGGTGCTGTGGGGCGAGGGGGTAGGGCATCTGAGTACGTCTCATCGACATAGCTCGGATCCCATTCTAGACTCTTATTGGATAATCGTAAGCTAGAACTCGTAGATGAAGTACTATTTCGACACTTAGGTTTGATGCCTTTGGGTAGTTCAGGTACGGTATCGCCTTCTTCTAACTTGGCTAATATTCTCGTAGGAGACGTGGGGACACTTTCTCCACCTGATATGACGTCTCTGTCCTCCGTTGTTTTGTTATTGTTCTCAAAATCCGCCACGGGATTTTCGTAGATTCGTACTTTCGGCACGGGTTCAGAAAGACTACGATTAATCTTCCTCTTCTTCTTGTCTTTGTTGCTTAGTCTCAGCATGGATTTAGGGTTCGCTGGCTTTCCTACCGAAAATGAACCAGCCTTCGTTCTTGTGTCATTTTCCTCGTTTGGACTCAACGGTCGCTTTAGTTCTAATCCCTTCTCTCCTGTTTCCATGACAACTACCGCATTCCTTTTATCCCGAGCCTGTGACGTTTTCCTATCCCGCAGTACTACAGGAGGAAGTGGTTCCAGCACATTCTCGCTGACTTGAGTCGTTTTGGCTTCTTTTCCAAGTAACATTGATTTTGACCTCTTACCTTGGCTTACCCCTGAGGGTTTAGGGTCACCAGTAAGACCTTCGTCAGTTTTTGGTCGCTTCTTTCTCATCTTCGGTGAAAGAACTTTAAAAAGCTTCTCAACAGGAGACATTGGACGGCTGCTCTTGCTGACATCTTCTGTTTTCTGTTGATCATTTTTATTGTCTTCTTCAAGAACCGGGATTGGTATACAAGGTGGAGGAGACTTCCGTCTGTGAGTTTCCTCATCGTCACTTTTCTCCGAGTCTGACTTCACAGAAGATAATCTTTTTCTAGGAATACGAGGTGATGTCGCTGACTTGCCTAACGGGATCGACGACGCTCGACTCGATGTGGTCGAATTCCCATCTCCTATCCGCAAATGCGCATGACTTGGACAGTCACTACTTAGCCACGTGACATTAGTATCAGAAGACAAGGTCCCGCACTCGCTGTGCTCCTCGATGATAAATGGTCGTGCTCCTGTAGTCGAAGCAGCGGGAGAAGATGGCGCTGAATGAACGAGGATTGAACAATCTTCTTGATAATTGGATTCTGTTGGGGACTTATTCCTAATGATGACAGCGCCTTCGGTTTTTGACACCTCAGACCCTCTAACAGCTACTAAACCTGTAGTATTAGGGATTCCAGAGAGTCTAGCGCAAGCCTCGGTACTATATGTACTGGAAAGGTGGTGTTCAGGAACCGATATTGACTCCAGTGACCTCTTGCGCGGTACGGTTCCGAGCTCGACGTCACGTTCTTGTTCAGCCTTGTCATCTTCTTTAGGAAGACACGTCTGTCCTTGCACGGCCAGAGGGACAAATAAACACGAGTCTCTTTTACACGCTAAAGCACTGTACAAATTCTCTAGATTATCGTTATCGTACGAATAAATAAACGGATGGAGACATGCATTGACGGTCAGTGAAATAGCTAATGTCTGCATGGACACTGTGACCGTTAGAAACCTGGGTACGACCAATACCATGACCATATATGGAGCACCCCAGAAGATGAATGTCGAGAGTAAAAGTATGAGCATGCGCACAGTAGTCCTGTATTCAYGATTCTCGTGTTTTTTTCGTTTGACTCGACAGAGTAAACAAATGTATAATATTATTAATACCACGCAGACTGCAAACAGGCTGATTTTGATTCCTTTGTCGATGTCTATGAAGTCTCTGCTGTTGGCGTGTGTAGAACACAGGTAGCCCCATGATCCAGTTTTGGTCCACAATACAATGACCACAACACCGGCGAATAACCAACTCTCCATGACATAACCAATGGATCGACAACAGTCAATATGTCGAGGAGAATTGAAAAATATAACTAGAATTCTCTCTATTGTCACAAGAACTAGTGACAACACCACCAGAATTAGTCCAATAGACTTGATACAAAATAACAGTAAACACCATTGAATTTCCCATCGTCCTTCACCGTATCGTTTAAAGTTCCCGTATGTTAAGGTGTCTGACACAGAAAAAATGACAAGATGGATGCCAATGAGTATGTTGCCTAGCAACAAGTTCATGACGAAGACACACACCGCTGACTTGCGGGCGTCACTATTGCAAGCCAGCGTCAGAAGTACGAGAAAGTTTGACGCGACGGCAAGCAGGCCAAACGTCCATAACGCAAGCTTAACGGCTGAATTATCTCCAAGGATACTCCAAGACGTCTCGTTAGCATTCCTCGAAGCCATGTAGCACTCGATCGTCTTGCCCGTTTCTTTGACATCACACTGCGCATGCGCGCAACCTTGGATTTCGAATTTCGCGAGTTCCTCGTCTTTCAAGTTCAGTGCTTCTATGCACTTGGGAATATGCGGGCCGATGCATTCTGTCAGGGGCTTCTTGTAGAAGTTACAATGAATATTCTCTTTCATGGTTTCTTTGGTGATGTTGATGGTTTTGGTGAGGTTGAAGATGCCCGCTTCGAGCGTGTTCATTTGGTTCCCTTCGAGATGGATGACTTTTAACGATCGTAAAAAGCTGAATACTTTCTCATCCATCTGTATCTTGCCGTTGTTTTGAAGGTGACTATGAAAAAGAAATTAGGAAGATTAGATTAGAATGGTCCGATGGGCTACCTGTGGTACGGGGAGTGAACCCGCTGACTACTAAAAAGATGAATGCGGACGCATTAGGAACGCGCATCACCCGTACTTCACAAGGACAAGCATGATTATAGAAAGAAAATCACGTAATTTGGGATTTTTTTTGAGATGCGCATGCGTGATGCGTTAAACACAACTCACTGAAAAAACTTCTCCCAGTCCCTCCCTTCCTCTTCCCTTCTTTCCTTCCTTCCTTCCTTTGTTCCTTCCACTCCTCGTATTCCTTCAACTTCATCCCATCCATTTCTATCTACTTACAGTTCTTGTAGTTTTTGCAAGCCTAAGAAAGATTTCCTTGACAGCGATCGTATGGAATTGTTTGCAAGTGATCTAGAGAGAAACCAAAACTGATGATAAGAAACGACATCGATCTCTACCCTTCCCCCCTTGGGTTTCTTTGGTAATAAAACAAAGTAACATCTACCTCCTCCCCCCACGGGACATTTCTTTAATCTCCCCTCCCCCATGGGTTTCCAATAAAGCAAGGACGATCCTTACTCCCTTACCGACTAGATACACTCCACCCCCCCANATGATGTTGGTGATGATGATGATGATGATGATGACGACTGATTGCAAATATGCAGGGGCAAATCTAGGTGGGAGGGGATTGTGGGTGTGGCAACCCTCCTACTTAAAATTTACACTTCTTCTTTATAGTTTTATACAGGTGGATGCCCCTCATATGCAGAACCCCCTCTAAGAAAATCTTTAATTTGCACCTGATATGACGACGTTGATGGTAATAATGATGATATTGAAGATGGTGGTAATGATGATGAATGTGGCAATAACAGAAAAGATGATGACTGATGATGAATGATCTTCGCATTGATGGTAAAAATGACAATAACGAAGATGTTGTTGATTTCCTCACCTCAAAAGAGCAAATTGCTTTCCCATCCAGCCCTGTAAAGGGGCCAGCAACAGCAGAGCCAGGATACCAGTGAAAGACCATGGTCCCATCTCAAGCCAAGACAAGACGGCTGCAACAATGAGGAGCAGTGGAGCAAGCCACGTTTGATGAAGAAATATAGTTGTCTGTAAAACAGAATTACACTGATGTGATGATTTGAAACAAGTAATACGAAAGATTTGCCCCTGCAACACCTTTGACGAAAGAGGATGCAAGACAAAAGTAGCATGAAACAGAATTAGGAAGCACAGGCTGCGTGCACTGGTAATGCGATGCCTCTCACCAATGCAACCCAGGTTCAAGTCCTGTCGGGCTTGGTGATGTTGTGTACATGTATGTGAGAAGAGTACTATGAAAGATTTGCCCCTGCAACACCTTTGACGAAAGAGGATGCAAGACAAAAGTAGCATGAAACAGAATTAGCACAGGCTGTGTGCAGTGCTAATGCGCTGCCTCTCACCAATGCAACCCAGGTTCAAGTCCTGTTGGGCTTGGTGACGTTGTACATGTATGTGAGAAGAGTTGTTTGTTGGTTCCCTCCTGTACTTCGAGGGTTCTTCTTTTGGATCTCCAGTTCCCCTCCCTCCTTAAAAATGAACTTCTAAAGGTGTAGGTCCAAAAATTACATTCCATCCACCCCCCCTCCCTCCCTCTCCTCCTTAGGCTTAAAACCTGACATAAGAGCATCCTTACTCCCTCCCTCACGGGATATTTACATTCGGTCATTCTCGAATGGGTTTAATTTCCAAAACTCAAGACGGTCCTTACTACTCTCCCAAGGGATGTATTCATCCCCCCATCCCTCAGCCCCACGGGACGCATGTAGTAATACAATCCTTACTTACAAGTAAACTAAATCGGTGTAGTTGATGAAACTCCCGTCAGGCACTTCGGTTATACCTTGCGATGATAGATCTCTGCAGAAAGAAAAACATACCTTACAACACTTTTCTTTACAAAGAATATTACTAGGAAACTCAAACAATGATGCATTTATACTATTTGGTTGTCTTTTTCTAATTAGCCCTTATCGTTATTAAGACAACTTGTACCGTTAAATATCGTAACTTTTCATTATTGTAAACTTGCAGTATACATTTATTTCAATAAAGTTATATAATAGTCACCAGAAAAGCTACAAAGCTGAGACTGACAAGGATTATCGGTAGATACATTTTACATGTTTCAACCGCTTGATAACTTTTGATGGACTTGAGATCTTCTACCAGTTACAAGTTCACCTCCTCTGAGCATCCTCAACTGCTGCAGTTTGTGTCAAAAGCTTTACTTGTTGGATATAAAATATTTCCCACAATTCTCAGCGATCACGGCTTTCTAGGTTTTTGGTGACTAACTTTATTGAAATAAGTATAAACGAGGTGCGTATAAATTATTATTATTGTTTCGTAAAAGGTTCGTATCAAAAACACCGGATACAAGGGGATTGACACAAGAAAAAATCGACCACTGATTCCTTCGTTAGCACGTGACGTCATCGCCGCCATGTTGATGAACAAAGATTTCGGATTTCCTTTTAGTAATACACCAACATGGYCGCCATGTCTTTGTCCTTTGACTCTCTTGGGAACAATTGGAAAACTATTAAATATAATTCAGTTAAAAAAAAGTCGACAGCAGAAAACATGAAAAAATATGATCAAAACTGAATGCATCTGTTTACATTTACTTTATTGTTGTTCGGTCCACTATAAGATAATTTCTATGTCGTGGCCTGACCCTTCAGCTTATAAGAGCAACCACTCGATAAGATTAGCTAAATAACTAAGAATATACCCTCGATCAGTCTGCTTTTGCCTTCAAGGCATTTGCCCCAATAAATCTCTTACTAGGCGTCTGGGTCCAAGCCTTACAGACTGGTTCATTGATCCATAGACAAGGCAGGACCGTTGGGCTAATAAAAGACACATGTTTCAAAACATACTGATTTAAGAACCCACGACAAAGCGAGATAAATATAACGCCATTCGAAAATCAGTCAAGTCTGAGATGATTTGACCTCTGGATCTTCAACGCACGAATATAGCCACTGCGTTGTCATAGCAACAGTAAATCGAACTCTATTTTTAGTAAATCCTGGATGAGAGAGCTCTGATAACAATCGTCTTTCATTTTAGAGATTAGGAAGGAAATTTATTATTGGCTGCAATTATGATTGTCGACTTTTTATTTTCGTTATCTTGTATTGGAAAGCAGACAGAAGCGAACGCGCGCGCGGAACGTATATAATACTGATTTATTATTAAACTATTATGTATTATTGCCATTATTATTATTATGTATTTCTTCCAATTATATTGAGCCCTGAAACAAGCTCTTGGCTGTTCTAAGTCAGGGCATGGTTAACTCACAGGTCAAACCCTGAAACAACCTCTGGGCTGATCAAAGTCAGGGCACAGAGCCCTGAAACAAGCTCTTGGCTGTTCTAAGTCAGGGCATGGTTAACTCACAGGTCAAACCCTGAAACAACCTCTGGGCTGATCAAAGTCAGGGCACAGCTAACTCAAAGATCGAACCCTGAAACAACCTCTGGGCTGATCTAAGTCAGGGCACTGATCAAACCCTCAAACCCTAAGACATGCCTGGGCTGAACACGAGGAAGTTAGTCCATAAGACAAACGACGCCTTTGAGCTCTCCAAACTAATTGGTTTTCATTCTAATTTATTATTTGCGTTTGCATTCCCCTCTTTAATGCAGTGAGGTGGGAAGAAAAGGAAAACTTTGAAAATATAGCCTGATATTAAGCTGCAATTCAACTTGGATTAATTTAATATTTGAATATGAACACGATAAAACAACCAATCCCGATACGAAAAGAAAAAGCTATCATAAAAGAAAGACAGCGAAAAATCACTGACCAAAGAAGCTGGTATCAGAGAGAGAAATAGTTGTGGTCGAATGGAAAACGGAAAGATGGAAAAAACAGAGAAGAAAAGGGAAGAGTGGAAGAAAGCTAGACAGAGATAATAGGAAATGATGAAAACACCTCACAATACAGTTTTACCGAGTATATTTGACAATGGTAAACACGTAAAAACTTGTAATCTAGTTGGCAAAGTTTCCGATAAAAAGTAAATAAACTTTGAAATACGAACTGTTTGAAAAATAAAGTAAAAAATAAAAGCGAAAAATACTAAAATATCGATTTCTCAAACTGAATATCAATTTTTCTTTCCTTTTTTTTTTTTTTTTTTTTCGTTTTTCTGTTATAAAAAATAGCTTGGGTTGCTTTAATAGTTGATTCAAAATCTTCTCTAGACCACACAGTTTTTGAAATATCGAGAAGAAAGATCTCGTTTCTTAAGAATAACAGTACGCTTTGGTAGGATAAATAAACAACTCGGGTGGTTTTGCTGTTTTAGCTTACAACACATCATCTCACACGTCTCTAAAGATATTGCGTGCGTTTACACACTTTGATTATTGGAAACATAGCCTCAACGGCTCCAAAACAAACTCTTGCTATTCTTACTTCTGGTGTTTATTATAGAAGTCTATTGTAGAGAATTTGCCTTCGGGCTAAAACTAGAGATGTTAGCCGTTTAAAGACTCCATCCCTTTGTTGAAGGACAATTAGAAAAACCCTCATTTTGTAAACACCCAAAACTAGTATTATTACAAGCTATATTTTTGGTAAATAACTACTTTTATTGGTACTTAAGGGAATGATTTTACCGTTCGGGTTTTTAAGAACGGAAAAAATATGATAAGGTGTTTGAAGTGTTTTGTCTTTAAAAGCACTATTTGAGCTTTAGTCTTCCGTATTTCCTAGTGGAAGGACAGCATTAATGTTTGCGTAAGAAAGGTCATATTTATTTATTAGAATTCTCGATTTCGCTTTGTTCGGCGACGAATGACACGCTGTTTGGGGGCTCGAGACCTCACACGGAAACAAAAACCAACAGATCTAGACCAAGCTATTAAAAATATAAAAAAGAAGAATGAAAGAAACCTAAAAAGATGAGCTTAATTTCATCTTCCAATGTGCAAAATATATTGTAAAATCTTCAAAAAGATTTCACTTTAGCAAAATGTCTTTGAGTGTGAGCTAAAATATTTTTTTCTAATTCCATTTCGTTTATTCTTATTCTACTTCCATGTAATGTTTGTCAGAAATCAGAAAGTAATTATGAATAGAACGAAATTGCTAACGAGAAAAAGATGGGGAAAAGCGAATAGGTTTACTGACTTACAGTCTTGTGACGTTGTATGGGAGGAAGGTCCCTAGCGTCCTTAGATCTTTGACCGTGCAGCGGAAAGTACTTCCACATTCACACTGTTTTGGACAGCCAGAAAGCAATCCTTTTGATAACCCAACAAGCAAGAATAAGACGATGAAGATGGACCTCATAACTAGACTTCTGTTAAGCACTCAACCCTGTAAAACAATCGAAAAAAACAGAATTACAAGAGATCATATATATATACGCACACACACATACTACATATGCGCAACTTACTTCAATTAGCTCAAAACAACGCGCACAAATATCTACATCTTATAAATGTTCTAACGCACATTTTTGCCTTAGAAATCTTAATCGATATCGACTTCATGAACGACCATTGTACGAATTAGTTTTTCCATCGTTTCTTTGGTTTCAAGGTACGTATATATAGTGTAGTACCGTCGAGGCTATCTCAAATGTGTGAGTTTGTTATCGAGATTATCTTTCTTATTATAGTAATTGAGGTAACTAGACACCACTTCGTTGACCCCTTAGGCCATGGGCGCTTCTGACTTGCAAAGCCAGACAAAAATACCGGCTTCTTAATCATATGTCATTTTGAATCAAGTTTGTTATTGCTTAGGAGAAGATACTGTACAATAGTGGCTTGTTTTGGCGACTGGTTTACAATGTAACGGKTGTGGAATCAAATGGGTGATTACGCCATATTAAGATGCATTTCGTTAGGGAAGAAATGGGAAAAAAGTCGAAAACGATTAAAAAATTATGACAAGTTTTTTTCAAATCATCTCTCCTAAAAGCAAACTAGTGGAAGCCATTTTGGATGATTTTAACTATTGGTCATCCCTGGGGGAAAATGGGTTAAGTTGGGACTGTTTTACATATTTCCAAGATGGCGTCTGTTTCGTCACAAAACAGCCCCATAATTCAATGCATTGCAAAATCGACCCAGTTTTTTCCTCAACCTCGGAATGTCTAATAGGTGATTTGCCAATCAAAGTGTAATTGGAAAGTGCTAAGTCTTTCTCATTACATGTCTTTTTCCACACGACATAAAATTCGAACGCTCAAAAGTCAGTGAAAAATATGTTATTACACACTTGCTTGAGGGTGGATTCAGGGGGTGAATTGGGTGACTAGACCCCCCTTTGGAGTTGGAAAATAATAAGAAAAAAGGATAAAGTAAGACCTAAACGAGACGCATATCTGCGTGAACTCGGGCTTCATAGCAGAAAATCGAAAGAATTCTTCGTAAACATTGTCACCTTTTTAGATGGTGCAAAGTCTGTGCAAAATCAAGCGTGCTAAAAATGTTGAGGGTGTTAAACTCCATATTATTCATTCCTTGAAACAGCGACGAGTCCTTCCCCATATCCGCCATTACTCAAGCATGTGCTCACGGCTGATTCTACGCATGCGCATAGACTTTGATTTGACGCATGCGCCTTAGGGCTTCGAGGGCGATTTGTGACTGAAGAAGAAAAAATAACGAAGCCCAATTTATACCTCGGGCATTTCTTCGAAAGCCCGAGTAAAAAGACGCTATGTGACGTCTTTCTAGGCGCACCAGCCACCCCCATTGAAATCGTTCTGGATACCCCACTGTTACTATCCAAAAAGGTCACACGAAAACCAGTATATAAAATTAAAGTACGACAGACCAGATTACAAGAACACTTAAGTTTTTACGTCATAAAACAAATTTATCACTCAGCCCCTCCTAGTCTGCGAAAAAATGCTTCGTTCATTCACAATATGTATGAAGCGCGCATGCGCAATAGACCTCTTAACCTGCGTTGTTTGTTGTGCACATTTCAGACCACGTGATGCCACTCTTGGGAGTTGATTCTTTCATGTGTAGATATTTTAACATGTTCCTCATAAAAGAATAATTCTCAAGGGAATGTCATGTGATCTGAAATGGGCAATTTGCATACGAAGCTAAAGCGGTCTATTGCCTCAATAGAAAGGAAGCTTATTTCCTCCTAGAACAGTACACAAAATAAGGCTATCCCACTATTAGAACTGGATAGATAGAAGGGAGAGCCCTGACAAATTCTACGACACGTGATACAGAGTACAGTAAGCAAACCCGAGAGTAAGAATAGTTTTTCTACTTTAAACACCGGAAATTACAAAGGCGGTCCTCTGCAGATAATGTTTTCCGGATGATAGATGTATCGCATTAAGGATCGGAGCGGTTGTTTTGGGAAATATATATTCATCATTCATCGATGACAGACATTTTGATATAGATGTCCTAATCATCAATAACATGTTACAAAACACATGGAATAATTTCGGAGTTCCAGAGATCTCTTGGAACAAATCTCTAATTTTTGTGTCCGTTGGAACGATTAATAATCGATTGTGTAACGGTCCGTACATTCGCCTCTCTTCTCTAGGGTCTCAATTTCGATTCCCAGACTCGGTAAAGTGAATACCATATATCCATGAAAAACTTCGAAAGAAATTGCACAAATTAGTAAGTTCAGTCGACCTCAGTAGACCGTAGACCTACATAATTTTGAACAATTTTGTTAGTTAACTCGTTCACGGATAAATGGTATGCACTCGCAACACATGTGAATAGAGTTTGTTAGGTCTCTCCCTTGATTCAAGGGTTTTTTCTCCAGGTTCTTCACTTTTTCAGCCTCCGCAAAACCTACTACGCTAAACTTTGATCAGCCCAGAGGTCGCTTCATTTTAGAGTATTGATAGAATGTTAATGTTATTCCAAAATTTCGGAATATGAAATACCGTAAATCGCAAAATTTGCTGGACTATTTCAGTCTTGATCAATCACCATAAACCTTCCAACTAACTTTTTTCGTTATAGAATTATTATTATGGATTTTTTTGCCTGACTAGCTTGATTTTTCAGTCATAGTTCAAACAGAGGTCTAGTTTTACCGGCTCTACCGACATCACAGCGTAATTAATAACCTACTATCGCAACTATCCGTTATCTGTGAAGACGCATGTCTAGAATGGAGACAGATTACCGATATTTATCTGCCGTCATTTAAGCCACTTTTCAACGGTGAGAAGCTTCTCACGATTAGCCTACTTGGATGGGTGATCGATAGGGCTTGTTGCCATGGGGATCGCTAGGATGCGAAAACAAACGCCCGAGGATCTTTGTCTGGTTTTTGAATTTGTTATACCAAGAAAAAAGAACAAAAAAATTGTTATATCAGGAAAAAAGAACAAAACATATTGGCTAATTGTACATTTCTCTTGTATCGCCTTGGTACCTTAGTTTTATCGAATCCTGAAATAACCTCTGGGCTGTTCTGAGTCAGGGTACTGCTGATCACACAGTTCGAATTGGAATTTATTTGTGGAGGGAGTAAAAAAGAAAACGTGGATAAAAACTATTGAATGGACACCTAACAAACTCTACTAACATGTGATGTTGAGTCTGGGAATCAAACCTGAGACTCCAGAGGTGAGAGGTGAGTGCACCACCACTACACCAGCCTTGGTTCACTAATGTATGTGATGTTAAGTCCAGGAATCAAACCTGAGACCCTAGAGGTGAGAGGTGAGTGCACCACCACTACACCACCCTTGGTTCACTATTGTATGTGATGTTGAGTCCAGGAATCAAACCTGAGACCCCAGAGGAGAGAGGCGAGTGCACTACCACTGCACCGCCCTTGGTTCACTAATGTATGTGATGTTGAGTCCAGGAATCAAACCTGAGACCCTAGAGGAGAGAGACGAGTGCACTATTGCTGACCACCCTTGATATCTCTACTACCACCAGAATCCTCTTCGTTGTTCCTCTCGTTCGTCTAATCAACGCCATAAACTTTCGATTCCCAAAGGAATAAAAAACATTTGAATAAGAAAAGAATTCGAGGAGAATTCTGGTAATAGTTAAATCGAGACGTGTCATTCTCTAGAGTATCATTTCTTTGTTTGACGGTTGCTTTTGAGAAGGCGAATGAATATGGATAAAACTCAAACAAGGAATCTCTTTCTCAGAGAATGACACGTGGTCTGAAATTGGAAAACATTACGCCCAAGGTAAAGATGTAAAGAGGTCTACAAAGCGACAGGAAAATCTATTTTGGTAAAACCGCGACTGAGTGACGCTGGATGAAAGATCATTTAGAAAATGTCAAAAGTATTTTACACAAAAAAAGAACATGATTGATAGATTCTTGGTAATTAATTCAGTCCAYATGCATCCTATTGGCCCTATTAAATCTATCTTATACTATCAAGGCTAGTAAAGCTGGGTGAACATGATTGATAGAGTCATGATCATTTCAGTCCATATATGCATCCTATTGGCCCTATTAAATATACCTTATGCTATCAAGGCTAGTAAAGCTGGGTGAACATGATTGATAGAGTCATAATCATTTCAGTCCATATATGCATCCTATTGGCCCTATCAAATCAATCTYATACTATCAAGGCTAGTAAAGCTGGGTGAACATGATTGATAGAGTCATAATCATTTCAGTCCATATATGCATCCTATTGGCCCTATTAAGTCAATCTCATGCCACATCTTACGTTATGTCATCCAACATGGCTGCCTCGTCTCTTCAATGATATATCATCCAACATGGCGTCCATGTCTCTTCAAT